TACAAACAGGCTACAAGCAGCTGCTTATCAACAAATTAAAGAACTAGAAACTTTTCTGAAGGCATTTTTGAAGAGTGCCATTGTAGTTCCTGTCTGAAAATCCAACATACATAAACTTTAGTCTAAAATGGTCCATTTATTTGTAACTTTTGTTTAGTTTGAATCTAAGATGACAAACTTGTGGTGTGTGAACTGTATAAGAAGTGTAGTGACCTAGATTTGTGGCAAAAGATCTCCATTAGTTGTTTTACTTGTCCAATTTTAACATTATTCCACCAAACTCAATAAAATTACAGTGTTTTTATTTAACTAGATGAATCCCACATTAGATCAGAGATCTCTTTTTCAAGGGAAGCCTGGGCTTGAAGGCCTAACATGCATGTTTTGGTCTGTGGGAGGAAACCAGAGTACCCAGAGGAAACCCAGGCTAACACAATGAGAACATACAAACTCCACACAGAAAGACCCCTGGCATGCCATCATCTAAATCATCCCATAATCTTATTCCATGTACTGAGATTCACATCTTGTCTTTCAAATTAACTTATCCTCCTGTGATCACCATCACTTAATCACAATGTAAAAACTTCTGTGAACTATATGGCAGCAGTTCTTTTTTAAACTATGCACAAAATTAATACATTTTTTTTAATTTGCCAAATTTTAAATTTAATTATTTTTTGACTTCACAAGCAGACTGTTAGTGTATTCTCTAACTTCCACTTTATGTAAAATTCTTATACTGTAGGTTTTTTGTAATGCTAACAACTAGTATCAGTCCCATGTGTGTTGCCCTAAACCTCTATGCACAAATTTAGATAAGGAACAGTTATTAAATAATATGAATTATAGGTGGCATGGTGGCTTAGTTGGTGGAGCTGTTGCCTCTTAGTTAGAAGGTTGCTGGATCAAATCCCAGCCTGGGACATTTCTGTGTAGAGTTTGCATGTTCTCTCTGTGCATGTGTAGGTTTTCTCCAGGTACTCCAGTTTCCTCCCACAGACCAAAAACATGCATGTTGGGCTTATTGGTAACTCTAAATTGTCCCTAGGTGTGAGTGAGAGAGTGAATGGTTGTTTGTCTTATTTGTCTCTATGTGTCCCTGTTATGGGCTCGAGACCGGTCCAGGGTGTCCATCCCTTCTTGCACAATGACTTCTGGATATGGGTACCAGTGAGTGACCTCTACGACCCGGAAAGGAAGAAGTGGGTAAATATGATGGACATTGTAAAACACTCTTAGCTTCTTTTTTAAACAATATTTTGGCATACTTTTTTCTTAATATAATTTATGTGACCAAAAAAAGTGAAGATAACAAAGATCAGAATAAGCTGTTCTGCTGCCAGTGGCTCATTATGGTCACCATGGTAATCACATTCTTGAGTCTGTCACTCCCTGACATACAGTGCAGAGCAGAATTCAAGCCTCAGACAGTCACTGTGCAAAAACTACAAGTCATATTGAAAATATTCCTAAACAATAAGCAACAGAAGTGTCTGGTTGACCCACATGTAAATTTCTTTGCGACAACAATGTTTTATGTAGGAGATACGATCAGTTAAAAAGAGTGAAAATCAATGAGTGTCTGGGATAATCATTGTCCCACACACCGCACATAGGGGAGGGGAGTGTTAAAAGAAAACCAAGTACTGTAGCAGTGAGTGACACACTGAGTGAAGTAAAATAAAATGCTTGAATCTTGATGTAAAACCTGTATAAGAAGTGTTAATTTGTGGGTTTCTCATTTTGCCCTAAAAATTCATATTCCTTAAACATAAACCACA